TCCCCAAAACCCCAAAACCCCGTGTAAATTTGAAAAGCTATAAAAAGAAGTAAAGAAATTAAGCACTAAATAAAATTGCTAAATTATTCACTTTATTAAGGAGCTGTTCTGCTTTTAGGAAATGCTTTATTCATGAAGATGCTAAGGTTATCAATTCAGCTCAGAATATATTATTTGTATCTAATTACATTATAGACTGCTTTATACATTGCTAGGCCTATTTAAAATTGAATTTTTAAGATGGTTTCTGCTATTGTTATGGCTAATAAATTTATTGTTGTTAAATGAAAGAAGAAGGAGTAGGGGCATTTGTTGCCAGAGTAAGCTGACTACTACATTTAGAGAGTCCCATATTATTGTACATACTCTAAAGCTCTAACCTATTCTTCAAGGCAACGTGCTATCTTTAAATAAATTTATCAAATCCTTTACTACTCATGAGACTTTTATTGAATTGGGAGTGATCAACTATTCTTTCTCGAGATGAAGTTAAATCAGGCTTAAAGTTAAATCTTTTAGTAGCTGAGAGTTGTTATTCCTAGACCCAGTTTTATTTTTATACAGTCCTTTATTTTTCTTTATAGTAAAATTCATCAGGATCTATCGTCCTTCTTGTATGAGAAGCTATTGCTCCACTTATTTCTCTTGAGTTCCTGGATAATCTTGGAGTAAAAGTGCATTACTATAATTCATATTCTTCTTATTCTCTCTATTTTAGCATTTATTGCAATTAAATAGATGATTTCTTCATTACATACTCTTTATGCAGTTTTTCATGTATACTTTCTCGCTTAGACTACATTCTCTCTTATGATTGTTACTGATTTCTAATAAGTGTTTAAGTATTTGGTGATATTGATGGTCTAAAGGTGCAATTCTTTTACTCAGATGGTAGCTGCAAATTTGATTTTTGTCTTTTCATTTACGAAGAAGCAGTCTCCCTTTCTAATTAACTTTAATAACGATGATGCTTTACTTAAGAGGTTATTGAAGAAATCCTCAATTTTATTTTGTTTTTCCATCCTTCTTTACTTTTTCTCTGTTAACTTTTACAGGGTATCATTGATTCTTTTCAACTCATTTTGCTATGCTTATAATTCCTCTAATTAATGAAATAAAACTTCAAATTTTTACCTTCAATTACCCGAGTATTATTGAAAGTATTGTTTGTCGTATCCACCTAAAACTATGGTATTATTTCACTGTATATATCATCTTCTATAAGTTCAATAGGAGTATTCATCATTGATGGCTCTTGACTAAAGGTTAGATAAGTATGCTACTAAGTATTTTCAGTTTGAGCTGTCCTCATTAGCATATTGTTTTGATTAAAACTTCCAATGATATTGCTTTTATGTTAACTATCTTTCTTACCAGAGAGAGTTATCGGATGATTATTAAGCGATTTCATTTTATAATTAACGATGATATTTGATTTAATAACAAACCATATTAATACTCTTAAATTTATTAAAATGTTATCAAAAGCAAAAATCTCAATGGACTTAACTAATCAATACGAAATAAATCAGCTTCATGCATTATTAACTCATATAACTATTAAATTAATCAGTTCTTTTTAGTTTCTTCCAGCACCCAATTATAGTAAGGCTGATAGGCGTCTTAGATATTTACAGATATGACTTCAGGGCATTCATAAGGATGATTTGCTTTCACAGTATTGACAAGCTCTTAAAATACATTTTTCCTTGTCTTCATCATTATTAGGAACTCCTTATCTTTCTATTATATAGTTTAATATTCAAGGTGATTTACGCATATTTCATTCTTCCAAGAGTAAATACTTGTCAGTCCTGGGATGATATTAGCACAAGCTATTAATTTCTTCTCAACCAATAAAGATCCAAGTTCCTCAGCTTTCTCTTAACTTGGAACTGTAGAATAATATATTACTGAATAATTTACCTGTAACATAAACTATTATTACCTCTGACTGATCTCCAAGATTTGATAATATTGGAGCATCTTCTAATTTCTACTAGACTTAATCTTCCATACTGCTAAATTGATTGAGATTTTTGTTTATAAAATGTCTGAGATATCTATTCCTAAATTGAAACAATTAAATCATTTATATTCCTTGATCACTTAGATTTTAGATTGATGGGGTTTTGGGGTTTTGGGG